TGTATTGTACAATTTGAAAATGTTATCTCATAATTTACAGAGAAAAGTCATATTTGACAATATTATACTACCGTTTAAATAATTTGTGGTCAGTCTTTTTTTTTTTTTTTTTTTTGTAAATTAAATTATTTATTCAATGAAAACTTTTATTCTCCAAGGATGCATTACATTGAGAGTGAAAACTTTTGCTTGCAAAAGAGCTCCATTTTAAATAATTAACTTTCTACTCATCAAAGAATACTAAGAAGATGAATCACAGTCTCTACAAAAAATATTAAGCAGCACAATGGCGTTCTTGAAATTGACGATTCATGAAAATTTAGCTTTGCCATCACAGGAATAAATTAAATTTTAAATATATTAAAACAGAAACCAGCTATTTTTAAAATTGTAATAATATTTCCTTAGAGGATGGTCATTTTTATTAAGAAAATAATAATGTTAAATAATCGGTAAAAATATATCAGTGTATTTGTATTATATCACAGCTGCCTATTTTAAATTCACAGATGCTTCAACCCAAAGCAATAAATAAAACTTATGTAAATACAGTGTAGATTAATAAGCAACTTTAAATGGCGTGTTGTAGCTGCAGATCTCTTACCTGCTCGATGCTGTCGATGATGATGGCATAGATCTCGAGATAACTAAAGGAACTCTCCACCTGAAGCAAGAGACAGGAACAGCACACATACTCTCACTGGAAATACAGTGACTCACAAATTAACAGAGAAGAGAATTTGAGGGTCAGGGAGGCTGGGTTACTTATTGAAACTCAAACACAGAAGTTGAGCTTTGGAACGAGCATTTTTTCTTTCCACGGGAACTTGTATTGAGTCATGCACTTTCAGTGTCTAACTGCTCTCCATTAAGAGCTAATAGCTCTTCTTTCACAAATCAAGAAACAAAATCATCTCTTAAAGGCGAACGTCTTTCCCTCTTTTACAAAAATCCACTCAGAGGAAATATAAAGCTCTATGAGTAATTATTCCCGCCTACAGCTGTTTAAGTTAATACTGGACGTGACCTACTGGCCCTCCTGTTTCTAACCTACTGCTTGTTTTATCAGCTGCATATTTTCAGAACTGTGTCAATTCACTGTTCAAGGTTATTGTGTTTTTTTATTTATTTGTTTTTTGGCTCTCTGAACATTTCCTTATTCTATCAGAATGAATGTATTTCACACACCTGATGTTCTGAATGTGAAGTTTAACATTATGATTTCTGAATGTTAAATGGTTTATTGGTACTGAAACATGAGCTATGTGGTCATGTAACATTAAAGTTACATTACTTTGGATTTGAAGCATTTCATTTTAAGATACTCCATTAAATTAGCCTGTTCTGATACACATTAGGCTCAAAACATAGATGGACACTTAAAGGGATAGTTTAAAGGGACCTGTGTGACTTTCTGTCATCTGTTTAACACAAAAGAAGATATTGTGTTGGCTGCCAATGGCTATCGTTACCTGTCTGGTTAAAAACTATTACTAACATTCTTCAAAGTATTTTTTATGTTCAGCAGAAAAAAACTCATACGAGTATGAAATTAATTTTGACTTGAGAACAATTTCAAAAACATCTGCGAACAAATCGTACCATTTTCTCAAAACTTAGATGTAATTTAAATTTAAATGATTCGATTTGATTTAATTCATTTTATTGGCTTATTTAATTTATTATTTGACTGTCTGTTTACATGAAATATTGTAAATCCTTTTGCAAATATTTTACTTTTTAATTTTTATATTACCGTTTTCAGGCTACATTTTTTCAAGGGCCGGGCAACGATTAATTGCGATTAATCGCATCCAAAATAAAAGTTTGTGTTTACATAATATATGTGTGTTTAGTGGATATAATTATATTGTATATATAAATAAACACACATGCGTGTATATATTTCAGACATATTTGCATGTATATACATTTATACATCATTTATATTAAATATAAATATTAATATTTGATATATTAATAACACATTTTTCTTAAATATATACTTGCATGTGTATGAATTTTATTACATACAAAATAATTATACACCGTACACACACATATATTATGTAAACACCAACTTTTATTTTGGATGCGATTAATCGTTGCCCAGCCCTAATTTTTTCATAACAATTTTGAACAATATATGTTGTATATAACCAAATATTGACTAAATTTTAAATGTTTTGCTTGAATGATGAGAGCAACTTTATTTATTTTTTTCATTCATCTAATGGAAAGGCATTTAGACATGTTTAAAGGGATACTCTCAAAATCCAAATGAATCAAATAGGATCGACTCAGAAACGAGTCAGTGAATGCACAAGTGTCACCTCATCCACACATGCACATCTTACTTGTTGCATGCACAAATTCGGGCCAACATTAATAAAAAATTGAGCTTTTATATTAACAAATATGTCTCTCTTTATACAAAATGCTGCACGTTCATGTAATTCTGTATTTTGCACACAAGTTGTATTGTATTAGTTTAAATGTAGCGACGTACATTTGTGATTTGTCAAATAAATGGGCTGTTGTGCACACATAAATAATTAGCACCAGGCCTATTTATTTGTAGTTGTTTGTGTGTGGGTTGTGAAATGCCGTTTTTGAATCAATTCAGCCGATTTTCTGATATTTAGAAGAATATCAGTAACCAGACTGTTTCTGTTCCCATTGACTTTCTATATTAGGAAAAAAATATACTATGGAAGTCAATGAGACCAGAAACTGTCAAAAAACATGGAGCATCCCTTTAAGTGTGACTTGAGTGTACAAATATTTATGGGATCACTGTTATCTGAAACAATTTTTTTTAAAGTGTAAGACGGCGGTGTAGAAACCATTTGATAAGTCTGTGTGCATGTATGTAGAAACATAGCTGAGGAAAGAACGTCTCGCCAGTTAAAATGATTGATACGGGCCTGGTCTGAGATCTATGTGCTCTGATATAGTGTTTCCCACCTTCACTGGCAGCTTGCTGTGAAACACATGAGCTCTCCATTGAGACATCACCTGTTCAAGAACAAAAACACAACAGAACAGTGTAAATGAGTCTAGCGCCATCTGCTGGTACACAAAAAGAGCTCACAACAACAGGCTAGCTACTTCCTTTCAGTTGTACTCTGTTATCAGTCTTTGTGGCTTTCAGTTTTATGGCTCAGCAACCAACCAAAAAAATTTGTTTTTATAACAACATTGTTTGGCAAAACCACGAAAAAATATTGTGGCCTTTTCGGTGCTTACTCTCACATTAAACAGAGAGAAGCATGCAGCCCTTCAGTGATGAATGAATGAACTGTCAGCAGATTCTTGCAGAGCATGAGACATGCTCATTTCATCTGCACCATGAGCAACGAGTGCTGCTTTCTACATGAACATCACAGTCGGGATTACTAATGACACTGTGAGAATCCAGAGTTTTCAAAGGAATTTATGACATTGATCATGCGAGTCTTTGAACAGACATGATGCCCTTTTTATATTATTCTCAAATCATGCCGGAGAATATGATTATCAGGTTTTGAACACACTTAGAGAGTTCATGCAGCTCTCATAAAAACAAAATACTAATTTCATTCTGAAATTCAAATTCATTTTTTTTCTCATATTTGTTAAAAGTGTATTACAAAAAAAGATTTCATTAAAAAAAAGATTTTTCCACAAATATGTAACATGATCTTCTCGTCTTGTTTTGATCGGTTTGTCGCAGATATTTGTCTGTGTTGTATATACTGAATGTATATATATATATATAAATTATATTCCACAAATAAAATAAATATATATTCATTATATTACAAAATGTGTGTGTGAAAGGCTGACATACCAAAACTCTGTTCTCTGCTCGTCCCTTGCACTGGTTGATATGCACCAGACTCATGAACTGAACCCTTTGTGGCTTCAGATACTGAGTTATGCCTTCTGTAAATCAAGCATAGAACCATTAATGCAGAACTGCACATCACTCTAAAAGATAAATATTCTAAACACTGCCCAATAATTTATCACATCACTAAAAAAAAAGTAGCATGTTTCTGAAAGTATTGTATAAGAACCTTACCTTTGAGGCAAAATGGGACCTCTGTCATCGCCGCCATAATGTCTGCTCACTATGTCAGTGACAACGGGGTAAAGTCAGGCCAGCGCCGGCACTGTGTAACACACTCTTGAACATACACACACATCCTGCTGCGTTATGATTCATGCTCATAGGGGAAAACCACAGTTTGAGAGTACAGGTCTGAGACAGGATGTGACACCTGAACTGCATGAAGAGCATCCTATCGCAGTCACTTCAAGATTTGCAGTTTCTCACATAGCACAATCATTTCAACCCCAATACACATTAAATATATGTTTGCAAATGTTAATGTCAAACTCTAGTCAGTGGTTTTGCCGTCAGCCTCACAGATGTAGAAAATCAAATGCTGCACCTCTAACCTTTACTCTTATGATCTACTGATGCTAAGAAAAAAATAAATAAAGCTGCTAAATGGACATTTGTCTACCCAGTATCTCCCTCTAGTGGACTGATCTACTGTCACTAGCTGCCATCCTGAAAAATACCGTACGTTTATAAATTGTGAAAATAAAGCTCTACACGATCCTAAGAGAATTTCCACTCCAGTGCTGAAGCAAAATTTAATTAATTTTTTTTATTTTGATTATTTTATAGTAGACAAATTAAACTATTTTTAAACCTTATTGGTGCAAATACAAACTTTAAACAACGCTGGGTTGTTTCAAGCCAAATTTGGGTACAACATGGACAAACCCAAATGTTGGGTTAAAAAATGTAATTTCAATTAACCCAACTTCAACTTTCAACTAATTTTTGATTTACATTTTTAACCCAACATTTGGGTTTGTCCATATTTTACCCAAATTTGGGTTGAAACCCCCCAGCATTTTTTTCCCGTTGGCACAGAATAAAAACAATCTGTGATTATTTCAAGTAGCAAACAATCGCATAAAGATGGAATAACAGACAAGCATTGATAAGGACAATATTTTTTTTATTAGCTGTACAGCAATACATTCTCCACACCATCTTACCTTATAGGCCCTCTATATACCCTTACAGCCAAAATAAATGTCTTTATAAGGTTGGTTTTCTGACCATTGTAAAATTCAAATAGTACAGCTAGGTTAAAGAAAAAAAAAACAAAAGCGTTAACCTAGAATTAAGAGCTTAAAAAAGCAATTTAAATGCAATTACATGTTGGAGGAAAACTTCATTCTGAATCTGAAAAACAAAACGATCAGAAATAAGGACATTGCTCTTTTGAACAAGTGATAACTTTTTACAAATATCCTATCCAAGCTTCCTCTTCTAGAAACAGCTCATATCAAAATAGCTTCCTCGAACACTCATATTAAACTTCTTAAATTAAATGTGGTCTGAAAAACCTATTGTAAACTTTAAGTCTCCTTCCAGAATGCCATGAAATTAACAACTCGTGTCACAAACGGTTTAATGTTAGGGGTGGTTGTTGGGAACACGACCACATCAAAACAGATCAAAATGATTGGAGTCATGCACGTTGCTGTACCTGCCCAGTTCTGTCCCTTTTCTTCCTTTTACAAAAGCTAGAGCAAAATCCAACAAGGAAGCCTGTCCGTTAGGTAGAACGATAGTAAAGCCACTCTCTCATAAAAAGACTAAGCAACCCTTCCCCATCAAGCGAGTTGAGCAGACTCAAATGCAACGATTCAGGCTACGGAAGGACAGAAAGAAAAGGGGTTATGCAGCCTACATGATTGTTCAGGCTTTTATTTTTCCGCCACAAGTCATTTGAAAGCCTTCCGTGGCATGTTTCCAAACTAATGTTAAAAGCCATTGGCCTAGCATTCAAGGTCATCAATTCACTAGAAAAAGATTAAAATGTTCATAATAAAACAGAAAATAAAAATTATTTACAAGCAAGACTAGCCAAGATTACCTTTTGTACAAATGTATCAACTGCAGGTTTTTTTTTTTTTTTTAACATATGGATGGATGTCATCATCTCTGGCATGATAATTCGGCGGCTACATTTCTACGCTCCCTAACATTATCATCTGTGACCAGTAAAAGAGCACATGAAGAACAAACAGGGAATAAAAGTCATCATAAATGTCAAACATTGAGAGGATTTTCTTGGACAGAAGGGGTAAAAAAAACACCCATTTCTACAGCAGTGACAGCGATTCTAGATAGCAAGGCTTGACCAGGCACAAAATGATATAGTTTCTCAATATTGCCATGTTAATGTCAGATTTGAATGGACAAATGAAGACAGAAGGTTAGCTGGGTAAAAGAAAAGTCTATATGCATGTATTACACCACGTTATGTTAGAGATATTCCTGCTCTCAAAAATCATCCGGCCTCTCCAAGTACACAGCAAAAAAAATAACTCAGCAGTTGAACTACTGATGTGATAGAAACAGTAGAAAAGCGCAGCTTTGTGATCATCATGAGAAGACAAAATGTAAGAACTTTAGGACATTGATAGTTTGGAGTTTTATAGGAAAAGGAAGAGGAACAATGGATTCTTTAAGAAATTTGATGAAGGACATGAGGCCTTAGCTTGGGATTAAAGGAGGTGAGGGGGGGGGGGGGGATGTAAGTGAGTATGTATGCATGTGTGTGTATATATATATTTATAAATTCAGGGGACACATATGGGGATGTGCATATAAGCAAGCATGTGTGATCAGCCTGTGTGTCCACACGCATCCCCAGATCATCGGTCCATCATGCTAAGGATCATTTCAGGAGTAAGATCACCGTTAGGTGCAGCTTCAGGGACAGCTATCTGCACTGTTTCAACACCAGCCTCGACTGCCTCCACTTCCTCCACCACTGGCTGGGCAGTTACAGTAGCATCAGAGCCCTCGGGCTCCTTCTTCACAATGATGTTCTCAATGGCCCCTGTGCTTTCATCCTCCACCTGGATAATGGCAGCAGCTGCTAGGAGAAGCAAAGAAGGTGATTTAGTTAAACCCTGAGATAAGATTTTGAATGGTTTGTCTTAATGCACAGACGCACACACAGTACCTGTGGTGGTTTTGGCGATAGATTTTGTAGGTGAGGGCTTGGGTGCATTCTTGGGGGGTCTGCCCCGTTTCCTCTTAACGGGAGGTTCAGCTGGTGCAGGCATGGGAACACTGGGTGGAGCCTGTTCCACATCCATCTGTTCATCGTCAAGAAGATCATCCTCTTCCTCTTCATCAATGTCATCAAGGTCAGGTTCTCCATGCTCATCTGAGATATTCAGGCAACAGTTAGTCATTAAGAGTAATATAAATTTACATTTAAAACATAATCATACACATTTCCTTCTAATAACCCACAAACAGGTTCAGATAACCTAGTTATCTTAATAATAATCTTAATAGTTATCTTAGCAGAACTAGAGCCAAGCTACTCACCGCTATCATCGTCGTCATCGTCCTTTCTAGAGCGCATCTTCCTCTTTCGGCCACCACGAGCCCTTTTGGGTGGAGTACCGTTCTCTCCATCAGCAGAATCCACACCAGTGCAGTTCTCTGCATGTCTGGCCATGGTATTCTGTTAAAAGTGTAAAAAAAAAAAAAAAAAAGTTTAACACAAATTGCTGTATTCAATGCCACCATAAAATTAATCTGACCTCTTTAAAATGTACCATACCCTGCGAGTGAAGGTCTTGCCACACTTGGTGCAAACAAAGGATGTGGGCACAAAGTTGGGATCATGATAGCGCCGAAAGTGCATATCCAGGAGCTGTTTCTGTCTGAAAGTCTTCTCACATTGGCTGCAGGCGTATGGCTTCTCCCCAGTATGGGTGCGCTTGTGCATTACCATGTGGCGCTCCTGTTAGCAAGGAGAACACTGCAATTAACAAATGCTTCTGCTGAATAATGCTGAACAATTAAAACAATTTCATAAGCTGTCTGACCTGACGGCATGCGTAGTCACACTGGTCACACTTGAAGCGCTTCTCATTTTTGTGGGACTTCTGATGCTGGATGAGAGCATAGCGCTCATGGAAAACCGCATCACAGTAACGACATTTCCTGCCCTGCTCAATGTAGGAATGCTGCTTACGTAAGTGCACACCTGGAATGGGCACAAATTAAAACATTTTAACTTCAATACATCACAATTATGTTCCAAGCTGTTATTGCCATTAAAAACACCCACTATAATTAGCCATTAAAAACTAGAAAATTAAAAATTAAATTTTACCAAGATCGCTCTTGCGAGCAATAACCGTGTCACAATGAGGGCAGTGAAATTTAGCCACATTTTCTGTGTGCTTCTGCAGAATGTGCATCTTCATGGTACCACTCTGGGTAAAACGTGCATGACAGATATAGCACTCATAGGGCTTCTCTCCTGTAGGACAGAAAAAAAGTTGAGTTTTTTTAAAAGCAAAAAGTCAATTAAATTTTAAAAAACAAAAAAAAGGGTCTGCAATAATTAAAGAGAAATGGTGCCATAATGTTTATATTATCTATAATATGTATAATGTGCTACTGACCTGAGTGGGTCCTCATATGTCTTTTCAGCTTATAGGTATCTCTGCTGGCATAGCTGCACAGACTGCACTGGAAGGGACGTTCTCCAGTGTGGGAGCGAATGTGCCGCTTCAGCTTGCTGACCTGAAATGTGTCAATGCTCACTTAAATTCTGGCACAATAAAGGGAATCAGAAAGGGCATGCATTATTGTATAAAATCTAATTGCGATGCTATAAGACCAACCTCTACACTAGCGTAGTCACACATGGAGCACTTGAATGGTTTCTCATGAGTGTGCTTGTAGCGTCTGTGTCGCACCAGCTCTCCACTGGTGACGAAGGCCATGTCACAGTCAGTGCACTTATGTGGTCTAGTGCCTGTCAGAAAGAATAAAAGGTTGGTTCAATTTCTAATACAAACTAGACAGCCTATATTTTCCTCTCCACTAAGGAGATCATGTACCTGTGTGAGTGTTTAGATGGTTCCTCAGCAATGTCACAGTTCTGAAGGCTCGTCCACAAAGATGGCACTTGTGAGGCCTCTCATCAGTGTGGCTCTTCATGTGGCGATCCAGATTGGAACGGCGAGGGCAGGTGTAACTGCACAGCTCACACTGGAATGTCTTCTTAACACCTGTACCCAGTGAACAAAATCCAGCGATTTAGTAGACCTGCCACAGATCTTACATTGAAATTATATTTGAAAATTATGTAAGACCCTGTTCACTTTGTATGCATCACACATTCTCACCTTTCTTCTTGATTTTGGTTGGTTTAGGTGGTTTCATATTACCCACAACTTTCTCAGCATTGACTTCAGAAAGCAGTCCCTCCTGTTGCTCCTCCTCAAAGTCATACACAGACACGTCCATGTCTTTATCCCCCTCCGTGTTGTAGCGCAGCTTGCTTTTCTTGGTCTTCTTAGCCTTTTTAACAGGGGGCGTGTAATCTGGATCTTTGGACCACGCGGGGTCTTCATTTTGGGCTTCAGCCATTTCCTCTTCCTCCTGCTGTTGAGGCTGATCCTCTTGGGCCTGGAGCTCGTCTTGCTCCACAGTTTCCACTTCTCCATTTGCACCCACCTTGACCACCTGTAAGAGAAAATATAACATTTAAATTCACCAGATAGTCAGAGCCCATCGCATTTAAAACTGTAGTCTGTTCAAAGCCGAACCTGGAAGCCCTCAGGCAATGGCAGGGTGTGACAGATGACAGGCTCCCCGTCTTTAGGCATGGCAGTGGCATCAACCAGTGTCCCTTGCAGCTCTTCCACAGTGGCAGCAGTGACCGGGACAGCAGAAACCGGCACCTGCACTAGCTGAAGCTCTCCCAAGCCCAACTGCTGCTCCTCCATGTTCACCACCTGCAGGGTGATGATCTGAGTGTCATCGACAGTTGTGACTGTGGCTTCATGGGCAGCACCAGCCACACCAACAGGTGCTCCAACAGCAGCCTCCATGACTTCAGTCTTCATCTGGAGTAGGGCAGGGTCCAGGGTGTCCATCACCATCATCTCCACACTGCTGTTGACATTAACTACACTCTCGACCAACTGTTGCTGGGCCTCCACCACAGGCTGTCCTTCAATCTGGACTTGCTCTAATCCAGCAGCCTGCAGCAATTCAGCTCCCACTTCCTCATCTTCTCGCCGCCTTTGGTAGGTTTTGCATTCCTTGGCCTTAAAAGCATCCCCTGCATCCTCCACCACCGCCTCAGTCGGTCCCCCTTCCATGGGTAATACCTATTGCAATTAAAAGTGAAAAAGTTAGAACGCAACACTAGATGTAAAACGCTAAAGTTTTCCTACCTGACTGCAATCTGTAGTGTTCACTTACATACACACACTCAGACAGGCTGATATCAACCTTGCAAAAAGTGAACAAAAAAGTTGAGTTGGCACTTAGGTATCCATGACTTTGGTGTTTGTATAGAGTACTGTGAGTTTACCTGCATCAAAAAGGAACACTTCATCTCTCTACCCCTGCCTTGACCACTTTCTGCCTCCGATGAATGTGCTACCTGTCTCAACTTTGCTTCTTACTACCTAGCTCAACCTGTTGGGATGCAAACAAATCAATCCATCAATGTGAAAAACAAAACATACTTTCAGTTTACAGCTTTTTCCCCCTTTAAAGGGATAGTTCACCCAAAAATGAAAATTAAGTAATTACTCGCCCCCATGCTGTACCAACCCCGTAAGACCTTCGTTCATCTTCGGAACACAAATGAAGATATATTTGATTAAATTTGCGAGATGTATCACTGCTACATAGGCTGCCTAAGGGATTGAAAATTGACAGCCCAGAAAGTCAACGAAGAAAATGTTTAAATATTCCATGTGACTATAGTGGCTCAAGTATAAGTTTATCAAGCGACGCGAATACTTTTTGTGCGAAAAAACAAACAAAAATAACGACTTTATCCGACTATTCCATTTCTTCCTTGTAGGCCTGAGACGAGAGCTCGAGAGATTTCAAAGAGATTTGGAAATCGTTATTTAAACGATTTGTTTATTCATCAATAAAGTAATTATTTTGTTTGTTTTTTTCACGCAAAATGTATTCCCGTCACTTGATAAACTTATAGTCGAGCCACTGTTGTCACATGGAATATTTAAACATTTCCTTTAATGACTTTCTGGCCTGTCAAGTTTCAATCTTTTAGGAGCCTATGTAGCAGTGATCCACCTCTCAAATTTAATCAAAAATATCTTCATTTGTGTTCCGAAGACGAACGAAGGTCTTACGGGGTTGGTACAGCATGGGGGTGAGTAATTAATGACTTATTTTTCATTTTTGGGTGAACTAAACCTTTAACACACCCCTCCTTGGGGTTAATTAGTATAACTATTAATATTATAGTGTATGTGTGTAATATATACATATACACACACACAAACGTATATTATATATAACCTAAATACACACATACATGTGTATAAATATATATAAAGTTTGTTTTCCTAACACATTAGCGATAATACATAACCTCAGAAAACTTGAACGTGACTTCTATCAAACCAAAACCGAGTCTTGCACTCTTGATTCGAAGCCAGAAAGCATCATCTAAACCGATTCTCGCTTCTACTTCCTCATGATCGCGCGCATTTGGCCACCAACCCATTAAACCGAAAAAACGTGTCCCCCTATCCTTACCTTCACACGTTTTAAAACACCCTTATAATTTTCCACAGCAAGAGGGCATTCTGCGATGGTTAATCGTGTTTTTGTACCACTACCAGTCGGGTTGTAGAGGGAGCTCTCTACAGTTTTTATCCCTTCAGTCGTTTGTTGCTTGAGGTTAGTCTTTCAAGAGTGAGCGGTCGCACCGACACCAACGACTGCGGCGATCCGGCTGTTTTCAGGCGATAAACGCTGGGATTCGTGGAGTGTAAGGCGAGGCTCGGTCTTGCTTATCGAAAATGGCTATCCTTATAGTTTGGCAACGGCATCTTCCTCGTTTCATTTTAACCTGCGCAACACGCTAGCATCGACGACAGGACATATGCTAAATCAAAGACGCAGTTATTTTTTTGTATCCAACGTAGACTTAAAAACACGTCATTTTGGATTTTAGGAGTGATAAGGACCGAAGAGCGAACAGAGGCCATCGTAATGGGACTTTAGTATCGCAAAACCGGGTCAATGTTTCATCGCCTCGGGTTTGAATTTAACTGCTCGAGGAGGGGCGCGAACAGGGCGATAGGCGCGAGCTAAAATGTTTTACGGCTTAAAATAGTACATATTATGAATAAAACCTCGGGGATTTGACGTTTGTGTATCTAAATGTTTTTTCTAAACTGTTTTGTCCGTGTATGGTTGGAAATTGGTTAACTTTAAGAGGCATATTAGCTGGTTTGCTAAGTGCGCGTGCAGAAACGGCGGGTTTCTAAAGACAGGAAACAAAGAGAAGAAACAGAAAATGGACGCCCGGCCTAAAGATTGAAGCAAACATCCTGGCGTTAAATAATGGCATCGTGGTGAAATGCCGTCTGATATAGTCTTAATAGTGCTTAATAATCAGGCTGAAGCCCGAACTTCTGGGTTATAAATGTTTTTTGCTAAATTTTCGATAACGATAGAGGGAGACAAACACCCCCCGCCAGCCGCCTGCACTGGGAGCCCCATCGTGACACCTAGAGGCCGATTAAAGCTCCTGCAAAACTCCCCCCTTTCGGAAAAGTAGCGCTGTTTTACCTGCGTTTGGTGATTTGCTCTCGCGTTGAATTCGACAGAAAGCCCAGGGTTTGTTCTTCCTTTAGGACGAGACGGAGTAATATTGCGTCCTTCACCTCCGGCGGTTTTAATCCTCTCCCGCTTTTGCAGAGTAGGCTCCGCACAAAATGGCGGCCCTTAGCGGCTGTTGCGCATGCGCCTCACGCAGGGGGGCGGTGGCGAGGGGGAGGGCTGTAAACAAAAGCAGTGTGCGGATTGGCCGTGTGGGGCGCTACTTTTGAATTACGGGATGTGGGCTTTTTTTAGACGTTAAGTCAAATTTGTACCAAAGTATGTTTAACGTTACATTATCTGATCCTCTTATTACAATATAAAAAGGTATTCGAAGAGAATAGAATAGCTTAACTGTGTTCCCACACTCCCAAATTGGAAATATCAGTGTGAAAGCCTATAAAATGTACATGAAATCTGTATCTGAAAAGATAGTGTTTTTATAGTATACAGTACATATAAAACATACTATATATATATATATATATATATATCAAGTGTGTCTATATATCACACCAAGTGTGGAAACCCTGGTTTAATCAATACACTATTGATATTTGACTCCAGTTATGTAATGCTGTTTTGATTTATGTTGATTCCTTTATTATTGAATTAGTCTATTTGAGCATGTGTGCATACATGTGGAAATGCTCAAAATATGTAAGCCCTTTTTTCAAATTTTCTTTGTGACAAAGTACAAATATGTAAATATGTAAACAAATCAGGCAAGTTAGTGTTCATAATTTTAATAGTTTCCTTTACAGTTGAATTGATGTCAACAATATCCTTGTCAGACAATATACATACTTAAGAGTAAATAAAAAAAATCAAAAGTAAATCAGTTATTTAATGCTGCACAATCTGTAGATAATAATGAAAAATATATTTAAATCTGTTCTGCAGTTTGCAATCCTAAACCACAGTCTCGCGTTTTAAATAAAGTCTATCTATCTCATTCTCTTGCTCCCCATACTAATTTGAGGCACTTATACACTGAAGAGGCGTTCTTTGTCATATCGAAGCCTGAAACAGATTTAACTAGAAAATCATGTTATTTAAAAACAAATGAACCTTCCCTGGTTTCAACTCAGAACCTTTCAGTCTAGCAGCACTGGAGAAATGCTCTAAGTCAAACATGATCTATGGCCACCCTAAAGATCACAAGCACAGAGAGGTTGTCGGGAACCCATTTCAAAAGGCAATATTCACCACTGTTTACAGCTTTAACTCCATAATAATGATGACATCTTTAAGAATGAATAAAAAAAAATGAACAGCTTCACCACTTCTACAGCAGATATTACATTGCCAGTGGGTTAAATGTGAAGTGCATGGTGAATCAAATCAGATCTGCATTTGCTATTGAGCATTTAAACATTTAAACTAAATTACAACACAAAACATTTACACTTCCAATGGGATATAGATATATATTCTGTATCAGTAAAGAATATGACAGTATGGAATGGCACTGTTACACTTTTATGGCAACAAAGTCCCTATGAAAGTTTGGGATTAATAAGGAATTATTTTCCAAGATCCCAATCCTACTTTCTGAGGTGTGACCTCTGCTATCAACATACATTCTCCAATCAATATGTACACACGCATAAGCACTCTTCACAAAGTGGTCAATCGTATTCTCCATGTACTCTGCAGCTAGTCACTGCCTACTTGCATCAATAAAGTGAAAATTTCACTTTATTTCCTATCACTATCAGTCATCACTTGGGTCCAACTTCATTCAATGAATCATGAAGGCAACACCATTGAGCCGAAACTTAAGGCAGCAAAACATTGTTTGTAAACCCACCACACCCACCTATGTATCTTACCTCATCACTTTACAGTAGTTCATCCATGTCCAAAATATGAATAACATACAGACTGACATACAAGTCCTCTTGTCTAATGATTGTAAAGCATTCGTCCATGTCTTCGAGGACAATGCTGACACTCTATCTGTAAGAGTGTGATCACGCTGATTTGTGTCATTTAAAACTGTTTGATAGTAGTGTGCATTTAATAGTTTGTAATTGGCATGATCGTGACAGTGAGGATACTGAGGCGCAAGTACATTGTTTTCAACAAGTATCGGCCAGTTGATTGTGTTAGAAAGCCGTACTGGCCATACTGCCGGGTGCAAAAAGCCGGGACATTCCATCTTGTGAGGACTCGAGGTGTCGATGGGCTATCTTCCCCTCCTCACCTGCAATTAAAACAAATGAAATGGAAATAAGATACATTGTCCTCCTCTTTAAAATGACAATACCTTTTGACTACATTTTATTTTTGGCATTTAATCGAAAAATCATCAATTGTTCACAAATTATATGGTGAAAAACTTTACGTATTTGTAGCCCTCAATCGGGTCATGTGATCTATACGACCCCAATCGACTTTTACTTACTAAAAAAAAAGGTTCCCTTCATCTCATTGGAATAAGATTTTGTGACTTTTCATACATTATCTATCTATGCACACTCAAAAAAACTGGGCTTGATTCGGTTGTTCTGAAGGTAAAAAAAAAAAAAAAAAATTACACTTCTGGTCTTTGGGGTCAATATGACCCCACATTGAAATGAAATGAATGGGAAATGTGAAAAAAAAACTAAATATATTTTCTTCATGTGTCAAAAAAAATAAATAAATAAATAAATCAGGCATAAATCTGAAAATGTTTACACAGAAATGAAGGCCTAGTACTACAGCATAAATGCAATGCATCATAAAAATAATAATATAAATAAAAAAATATATATATATATTTATATAATAATATAAATAAATAAAAGTTACCTTTATATCAGTGGAATAAGATTTTTCATACATTATTGTGACTTTTCATACATTATCTATCTATACACACTTACACTCACACAAAACTGGGCTTGATTCGGTTGTTCTGAAGGTGTGTAAAAAAAAATTTACACTTCTGGTCTTCGGGGTCAATATGACCCCACATTGAAATGAATGGGAAATTTTCTTCATGTGTCAAAAAATAAATAAAAACTCCGACATAAATCTGAAAATTTTTACACAGAAATGAAGGCCTAGTACTAGAGCATAAATGCAATGTATCATAAAAAAAATAATATTTCATATGCAAGCTAATGGTGTAGTTAGAACAGTAGTCACATTCAAATCCAGACTCAAAACACATCTGTTTAGCTGTGCATTTAACTGAATGAGCACTGTGCCACTGTTCGTCCGACTGTTACTGCACTTCATTTTATTTTTGATTCTAAATTGTTTTAATAATTTACTGTATTTTATTATCATTTTATTTTATTTATTTTATTCTAAACTGTTTTAATTATTCTGATTTCTTTTGATTATTTTAATTTCTTCTATGTAAAGCACTTTGAATTGCCATTGTGTATGAAATGTGCTATATAAATAAACTTGCCTTGCCTTGCCTAGTTGAGGAATTGTGTGGTATATGGATACAAAAGTACTTTATATCTCCAAAAACACAGCATTAATGAATAGATGAGAAGTAAACAAAAAACTTTACTGATATTACACAATTATTTCACATTTGCAGCAGATCCATGCTTTCAGTTTCATTACTGATCTTTTCTTTACTAGTCCATTTTCTGTTGTTTAGTTCATTCCCTGCTTACCTAGCACAAGTAGAGCTTGTTTGGCAGCATCCCTCACATCCTCTTTATCTGTCCGGCACAGATACACCAGCTGCTCAATGCTCTCTTTGGCCTGTGATGCACAAACACAGACAGACACTTTACTTAAAGTCCTCCACCAACACTGAGGAGTGATGCTGCATTCAATCTGATTCCCACTCAAATCACTACAGCACATCTAACCACCAGGTTCTTGAAGTTATGCAAGCATATATATGAACAACGTAGGAAAAAAATAAATGTTTATTGAGTGGGACTGAGTTATTGAGGAGAGAGGTTTAGCCATGCATGAACTGACCTTCAGACATGCGAGTGCTTTACATCCACACACTCGCGTCTCAACGCTTTCATCCTCCAGCAACTCTAGACAGCTCACCAGCGCCTGAGACAGAACAATAATGAGAGGATTCAATCTAAACCCTTTCTGAATAACCAAGCATTAAAACTTAATGGTGATGATTAGGGATGCACAAATATTAACATTCAGCCAGTACCAAAGCCCATGTTATGGGCAATCACTGATAAATGGTCAGTATTAAAGTGACATATTATATATACCGTTTTGCCTAAAACATTAAATAATACAATAAAAAATAATACTAAAAACTAAAATGTATCATTTTAAATGCTAATAGTGAATTTAGGCATCACATCATTATGTACAATGCAGTACAGTATGAAAAATGCATGATCTTTCAGAAATTTTTTTAAAGATTACATTTAACAATGCAAAATGATTAGTGTTTTTTTAAGATTAACTTTAAAGGAGTAGTTCACTTTAAAAAAAAAAACTTGATAATTTACTCACCCCCATGTCATCCAAGATGTCCATGTCTTTCTTTCTTCAGTCGAAAAGAAATTAAGGTTTTTGATGAAAACATTCTCCATATAAAGCACTTCATTGGGAACCAAACGGTTCAAGGTCCAAATGAGAGTTTCAGTGCAGCTTCAAAGGGCTTTAAACGACACCAGACGATGAATAAGGGTCTTATCAAGCGAAATGAGCGGTCATTTAAAAAATAAAGTTTTATAAGCACAAATGTTAGCCTTGCTCTGTTCTGTGATGTGCGCTC